CCAGCGACACCGAGCACCCTCCGCCCGATCACTTGCCGCGCTGGAGCCCCACCTCGCCGGCGAGCCCGCGCCCGAGGACCGCGCCTCCGCCCTACAGCACCTCGCCGCCGTTCGCCGGACGCGACCCCGACGCCTCCCCGAGTCCGCTGCCATTGCCCTACGACTCCGCGTGCCTCGCCTGCTGCTGCCGACGATTGACGCTGCCGCTGCCTCCTTCCTTCGCGCTCCACCGCTGCATGATGCTGCTGTTGCTGCCTCGCTGCTAGGCGCTGCCGCTCTCCCGCCGCGGCACCGCATCGACGCCGCCCCCTTTTTGTTGTGACCACGAACCGCCGTGAACGTCGCCGGCCTCCTCTGTGAGGCTGGGCATGTGAGGCCTCGCATGGGTCGATGACAAGTGGGCCCCAGCCCAGAACGTTGTTTAAAAAAATCAATTAATTAAAATTTAAAATTAAATGAGTAAATAAAATTAATTAAGTAAATAATAATTAAAATAATTATTTTGTTAATTAAATGAATTAACTTAATTAATCCTGATAATTAACCTGCTAATTACCTAATTAGTCAATTAGTCAACACTGTCAGAAACTGACATTTGGGTCCCCTGCCTAGTCGACCAGTCAACAGTTGACCTGGTCAACGGGGTCCATTGTCAGCCTCTAGTGGCCCTGCTGTGTGCACTCTGCTGGGTGCACATAGCAATTTCACCTTTTTTTTAATTAATAATAATTTCAGAATAGTGTTTAAAACTTTGAAAAATCATATCTTTTAATCCGTAGCTCGGAAAAAACTTTGTACATGAAAGTTGCTCGGAACGACGAGACGATTCCGGATACGCAACCCGTTCGTCCGGCACGCAACCCTAGCATAGAGAACGCGTAACTTTCCCCCTCCGGCTCCTCTTCCCGAAAACGCGAAACACCGGGGATAATTTCCCGGATGTTCCCCCCTTCACCGGTACCACCTCGTACCGTGTTAGGGCACCCCTAGCACCGATACTTGTCATGTCATGCATCGCTATGCATCTGTTTGCTTAAATATTTATTGTTCTTCCCCTCTTCTCTCGCTAGACACCGAGACCGACGCCGCTACTGGTGCCCCGACCGACTACGCTGTTGACGACCCCTCTCTCTTGCCAGAGCAACCAGGCAAGCCCCCCCTTTGATCACCAGATATCACCTACTCTTCTCTATACTGCTTGCATTAGAGTAGTGTAGCATGTTACTGCTTTCTGTTAATCCTATTCTGATGCATAGCCTGTCCTTGCTACTACTGTTGATACCTTTACCTGCAATCCTACTTGCTTAGTATAGGATGCTAGTAGTACCATCTGTGGCCCTACATCCTTGTCCGTCTGCCACGCTATACTACCGGGCCGTGAACACTCGGGAGGTGATCACGGGTATATACTATATACTTTATACATGATACATGTGGTGATTAAAGACGGGTCGGCTCGTAGGAGCACCCACGAGTGGATCTTTGAGGCGGAGCGACAGGGCAGGTTCCGACCACCTAGGAGAGAGGTGGGCCTGGCCCTGATCGGCGTTCGCGGATACTTAACACGCTTAACGAGATCTGGGTATTTGATCTGAGTCTGGCCATTTGGTCTATACGCACTAACCATCTACGTGGGAGTAGTTATGGGTATCCCGGCGTCGTGGTATCAGCCGAAGCCTTCGTGACGTCAGCGACTGAGTGACGCGCGCCGGATTGGACTGGAACGCCATTAGGCTAGGTCTGCTTCCGGCCGCGTACGCAACGTGCAGGTGTGCAAAGGGCGATGGGCCCAGACCCCTGTGCCATAGGATTTAGACCGACGTGCTGACCTCTCTGTTGTGCCTAGGTAGGGCTGCGACGTGTTGATCTTCCGAGGCCGGGCATGACCCAGGAAAGTGTGTCCGGCCAAATGGGATCGAGCGTGTTGGGGAATGTGGTGCACCCCTGCAGGGAAGTTAATCTATTCGAATA